TAAGTATCTGGTCAATGACAAAAGTTTCTCAATACTTTGTTATATACCCTTAGTTGGCAATGACACAGGTCAAACGTTTTCTGTAAGTCTTCACAAGGTTTTCACACACTGTTGCTGGTATTTTGGCCCATTCCTCCATGCAGATCTCCTCTAGAGCAGTGATGTTTTGGGGCTGTCGCTGGGCAACACGGACTTTCAACGCCCTCCAAAGATTTTCTATGGGGTTGAGATCTGGAGACTGGCTAGGCCACTCCAGGACCTTGAAATGCTTCTTACGAAGCCACTCCTTCGTTGCCCGGGTGGTGTGTTTGGGATCATTGTCATGCTGAAAGACCCAGCCACGTTTTATCTTCAATGCCCTTGCTGATGGAAGGAGGTTTTCACTCAAAATCTCACGATACATGACCCCATTCATTCTTTGCTTTACACGGATCAGTCGTCCTGGTCCCTTTGCAGAAAAACAGCCCTAAAGCATGATGTTTCCACCCCCATGCTTCACAGTAGGTATGGTGTTCTTTGGATGCAACTCAGCATTCTTTGTCCTCCAAACACGACGAGTTGAGTTTTTACCAAAAAGTTCTATTTTGGTTTCATCTGACCATATGACATTCTCCCAATCCTCTTCTGGATCATCCAAATGCACTCTAGCAAACTTCAGACGGGCCTGGACATGTACTGGCTTAAGCAGGGGGACACGTCTTGCACTGCAGGATTTGAGTCCCTGGCGGCGTAGTGTGTTACTGATGGTAGGCTTTGTTACTTTGGTCCCAGCTCTCTGCAGGTCATTCACTAGGTCCCCCCGTGTGGTTCTGGGATTTTTGCTCACCGTTCTTGTGATCATTTTGACCCCACGGGGTGAGATCTTGCGTGGAGCCCCTGATCGAGGGAGATTATCAGTGGTCTTGTATGTCTTCCATTTCCTAATAATTGCTCCCACAGTTGATTTCTTCAAACCAAGCTGCTTACCTATTGCAGATTCAGTCTTCCCAGACTGGTGCAGGTCTACAATTTTGTTTCTGGTGTCCTTTGACAGCTCTTTGGTCTTGGCCATAGTGGAGTTTGGAGTGTGACTGGTTGAGGTTGTGGACAGGTGTCTTTTATACTGATAACAAGTTCAAACAGGTGCCATTAATACAGGTAACGAGTGGAGGACAGAGGAGACTCTTAAAGAAGAAGTTACAGGTGTGTGAGAGCCAGAAATCTTGCTTGTTTGTAGGTGACCAAATACTTATTTTCCACCATAATTTGCAAATAAATTCATTAAAAATCCTACAATGTGATTTTCTGGAAAAAAAATTCTCAATTTGTCTGTCATAGTTGACGTGTACCTATGATGAAAATTACAGGCCTCTCTCATTTTTTTAAGTGGGAGAACTTGCACAATTGGTGGCTGACTAAATACTTTTTTCCCCCACTGTACTAACCACCACGTGACCTGTACGCTCTTGTTGGCAGGTCCTCACTACATGTTCGTCGCCAAACCCACTGGCTCCAGGCCATCTATAAATCACTGCTAGGCAAATCCCCGCCTTATCTTTACTCATTGGTCACCATAGCAACACCCACCCGTAGTATGCGCTCCAGCAGGTATATCTCACTGGTCATCCCCAAAGCCAATACCTCCTTTGTCCGCCATTCCTTCCAGTTCTCTGCTGCCAATGACTGGAACGAATTGCAAAAATCTCAGAAGCTGGAGACTCTTATCTCCCTCACTAACTTTAAGCATCAGTTGTCAGAGCAGCTTACCGATCACTGCACCTGTACACAGCCCATCTGAAATTAGCCCACCCAACTACCTCATCCCCATATTGTTATTTATTTTGCTCATTTGCACCCCAGTATCTCTATTTGCACATCATCTCTTGTGCAAATATCTATCATTCCAGTGTTAATACTAATTGTAATTATTTTGCACTATGGCCTATTTATTGCCTTACCTCCATAACTTGCTACATTTGCACACACTGTATATATATTTTCTGTTGTATTTTTGACTTTATGTTTTGTTTTACCCCATATGTAACTCTTTGTTGTTGTTTTTATCGCACTGCTTTGCTTTATCTTGGCCAGGTCGCAGTTGTAAATGAGAACTTGTTCTCAACTGGCTTACCTGGTTAAATAAAGGTGAAATAAAATCAACAAAAAAAAAGAAAGAAACAGAAAAAGCTTCTTAGCTAAAATTTCTAAAGCAATAATTTTTGCTAGGACTCTGGGAGTGGTTTGAGTGGGAAGGGGAAACTTTTTGTTTGGAACTCTCTTCCTTATTGGTCTATTAACTAATTTATTGCATGGTGATGTCACCACGGAAGGACAAAACTCCCTCCCACCAAAACAGGCTGAAATTTCAGGCAGTCCTTTACAAACAGCTCTTAAACTAAAAAGAGCATTATCATCATTTTCACAGTATTATTTCCAAGTGTGGAAATATATATAAAACACAGGAAAATCACGTTTTTTTGACTGCACTGGGCCTTTCCGTCACACGTAAGTCATTTGTTGGGTCATTTGTTGGGTCATAATTTTCACACAGAATGGAGCTCAGATACTATGTAGGCCTAGTCGAGCTGTCACAGAGTTCAACTGGTATTTATGACAATCAGTACAGATAAGGTGTGTGCCCAGACAAGGGCAAGGCACAGGAAAGAGAGAAAATGCATTGCAGACAGTTCAATGGGTTTAGTCATTTTAGAGAGGGAGAAGACTGAGAGACAGAAAGAGATCTCTGTTAATAAGGTCTAGTAAATAGACAAGGAACCACAACGTCAGAAAAAAAAATAAAAAAAAATAATAATAATAATAATAATAATAATGAAAATAAAAACGGATTTTTTTTTTAAAATATAAAATAATGAAAAATCATAAATAAATAAATAAAAACTTTCCAACATCATGTAAATTGTTCAGGACAGTTTTAAGGGAAATCCGTCCAGACTTTTCCACGTGAATTTAGCTAAACAGGGAAGCTAACCTCTAACCTCTAACCTCTAACCTCTGACCTCTAACCGCTAACCTCTAACCTCTAACCTCTAACCTCTAACCTCTAACCGCTAACCTCTAACCTCTAACCTCTAACCTCTAACCGCTAACCTCTAACCGCTAACCGCTAACCGCTAACCTCTAACCTCTAACCGCTAACCTCTAACCTCTAACCTCTAACCTCTAACCTCTAACCGCTAACCTCTAACCGCTAACCTCTAACCTCTAACCTCTAACCTCTAACCACTAACCTCTAACCTCTAACCTCTAACCTCTAACCACTAACCTCTAACCTCTAACCGCTAACCTCTAACCTCTAACCTCTAACCTCTAACCACTAACCACTAACCTCTAACCTCTAACCTCTAACCTCTAACCTCTAACCACTAACCTCTAACCTCTAACCTCTAACCTCAGACCTTTCTGTCCACTGCATCTATCATTACCGTACTAAATCCCTCAGAGAGAGAGAGAGAGAGAGAGATTGTCCCGTTGACAATATTGATTATTATTATTTTAATTATGTTAATATTGTAAATGTGAATTGAGAGAGAGCGAGAGATACAGTATGTAGCTTCCTGCCACACCCGTAGGGACAGCCAGTGGAACGACCAACCAGAACAATAACATTGCTACCTGTGTCTTTCTCACTATTTCAGTATTGTTCGCATGAATTTCTTACTGTAGTGTTCTGTTAATTGTTACTACTCATTGAGTATTATTATTTTTCCTAGTATTGTCTCTCTGCGTCATCGTTGATTTGATATGTGTCTATATGTTTGCTTTGGCAATGTATGTGGTAACACTTTCCATGCCAATAAAGCTATTTGAATTTGAATTAGAGAGCGAGAGAGAGAAACAGTTCAGCACAACCCTCTGGGCAAAAACTGGTTGAATCAACGTTGTTTCCACGTCATTTCAACAACAAAATTCAACGTGATGACTTTTAATCAACGTAAGGGAATTTCATACCTTTTTTCACCCAGCTTTTAACCTAAATCCAATGTAATAGTGACATTTTTTGTTGATTTCATGTTGAATTCACATTAATTAACAACTCCACTAAATGTAAATCCAAAATAGACGTTGAACTGACGTCTGTGCCCAGTGGGAAGTCTATTCTGAAAGACCCCTCTCCAAGTTGGACCAGAGGGAAGTCTACACTGATCCAGGTAGGGATAGCTCAGTCAGCCATGTGCAGTGCACAGCATACAACATCCTTCGCTGTTCCTTTATAGAAACATGGTGGTTTGAGGGGGGGGGGGGGGGGTGTCACATGGTGACTCACATGGTGACAATCTAGTGACTACCTAGTCACTACATGGTGACTATCTAGTGACTATCTGGTGACTCACATGATGACTATCTGGTGACTCACATGGTGACTATCTGGTGACTATCTGGCAACTATCTGGTGTCTCACATGATGACTATCTAGTGACTATCTGGCAACTATCTGGTGACTCACATGGTGACTATCTGGTGACTATCTGGCAACTATCTGGTGTCTCACATGATGACTATCTAGTGACTATCTGGCAACTATCTGGTGACTCACATGGTGACTATCTGGTGACTATCTGGCAACTATCTGGTGTCTCACATGATGACTATCTAGTGACTATCTGGCAACTATCTGGTGACTCACATGGTGACTATCTGGTGACTATCTGGCAACTATCTGGTGTCTCACATGATGACTATCTAGTGACTATCTGGCAACTATCTGGTGACTCACATGGTGACTATCTGGTGACTATCTGGCAACTATCTGGTGTCTCACATGATGACTATCTAGTGACTATCTGGCAACTATCTGGTGACTCACATGATGACTATCTAGTGACTATCTGGTGACTATCTGGTGTCTCATATGGAGACTATCTGGTGACTATCTGGTGACTATCTGGTGTCTCACATGGTGACTATCTGGTGTCTCACATGGTGACTATCTGGTGACTATCTGGTGTCTCATATGGTGACTCACATGGTGACTATCTGGTAAAAGAAAGGGGATGCTCAGATGTCTGAAATGATCTTGGAAGTTCAAAGATATATTTATTAATGTTTTCAATAAACATTTGGAGACAAAATATAGTTGACATGTTGTCAACAGTCAAAACCAATCCCGTCTGTTTTGACCCATAGTTATGCACGCATCAGTTTTGTTGCTAAACAACCAACCTGTCTAAGAATGGACAAAACAAATATGATTAAATGAAAGTTAAATAGTTGAGTTATTCTTCTCCTCCGGTAGGCTCTTGGTTGTTATTGGTGACAGGTCAGTCTAACGACCGTTGTAAGGGCCGTATCCATTGGACTCACTGGCAAGCTGCAGACAATGAGAGAAAAGAAGCCTGGTGGTTTATCTCTATTCCACAGACAATGCATTTCATTCAGCTTGAATTTGTCAGTGGTAGAAATGCACCCAAACTCTTAGCAGATAGCTATAACTTCAGGTTGCTTGATCTGAGTTGTGTGCGTGTGCGTGTGCGTGAATGCTACTGTTACTCACGGCTATGGAGGACTTGATGGCCTGCAGCTGGAAGAAGACTCTTCCTCCCTCCTCTGGACACACCATCTTCATATCATCTCTGGTCATCCCCAGAAGCAGGGCTCCATTCAGCACGCTCAGGCTACGAACCGTTCTAATGACAACATAAAGCCTTCATAAGCATATAAAACACCACAACACAGCAAAAAGTTTATTTAGCACAATGTTTCCCAACCTCCGGTCTGTGGACCTGAGGTGTCTGTGGACCTGCGGTGGTCCGTGACATGTTGCTGACCGGTCCCTGAGTCCGTTTTACAGTGCTGGTAAGCAGAGCCCCCAAGGAGGAAAGATAATAGTTTGTTGTCCATGTAATGTCTTACATTTTGGAGAAGGCCTTGTACTCCAGCCAGGCTTTCACGTCTGCAGGTCTGGACTGCATGTTGAGGGGTGGAGGGGAGCGCATCTTCTGGCCCTCACCCCAGGGTTCCCCTCCATCCAGAGGCTCTAGAACGTTCTTAGCAACATGACCCTCCTCACCACGTTCATTACGGACCCTCCACCACTGCCCCGACTTGTCAACGACCTAGAAACACACAAATGCAATTAACAACTTAAAATCACTTATTTAGATCAACAATACGTTTATTTTCACAGATATATTTTCCTAACCATTTATTTCTATTGTGTTATTTTGATTCTGGTTTGGTTGACATTCACTGCTATTATTTTTTAAATCCATATTCAACAGTGAGATGGAAGACATTTGTCAATGGCCTGTGTTCCTTAAAGGAGCCATGGGCTTAATCAGACACCCACCTGGATCACCTCTCCCTCCATAATGTTCAGTCAGACACCCACCTGGATCACCTCTCCCTCCATAATGTTCATTCAGACACCCACCTGGATCACCTCTCCCTCCATAATGTTCATTCAGACACACCACCTGGATCACCTCTCCCTCCATAATGTTCATTCAGACACACCACCTGGATCACCTCTCCCTCCATAATGTTCATTCAGACACACCACCTGGATCATCTCTCCCTCCATAATGTTCATTCAGACACACCACCTGGATCACCTCTCCCTCCATAATGTTCATTCAGACACACCACCTGGATCACCTCTCCCTCCATAATGTTCATTCAGACACACCACCTGGATCACCTCTCCCTCCATAATGTTCAGTCAGACACCCACCTGGTGGTTCAACCCCAACCCCAACCCTAACACACCTGGACCACCTCTCCCTTCAAAATGCTCAGCTCCTGGGGGTTCCTGGCCATAAAGTCATAGATCACACACATCCTATCTGGGGCCAGCTCACTGGGGCTGCAGAGGAGACAGAGAAACATAATGTAACAGCAATGTAATAGCAATGTTATAGGAACTTAATAGCGTTGCATGACAATGTAATAGCAAAGCAAAGGGCCAATGACAAAAAGGAATACAATCCTTTTACCCATTATTGAATTACTGAGGATATCATCATCAAAACAGTATAGCTGCTTTGGGTGATGATGTAGCTTACCGTGAAGGTGGTGGAGAATTCATCATGGGCTGTGACAGTCATGACAATAAAGCAATGAGAAACATAATGTAATAAGATGGAGGACAGAGGACAGAGGACAGAGGACACATGACAGAGAACACAGGACAGATGACAGAGAACAGAGGACAGAGAACAGAGGACAGAGAACAGAGGACAGAGAACAGAGGACAGAGGATAGAGAACACAGGACAGATGACAGAGAACAGAGGACAGAGGACAGAGAACACAGGACAGAGGACAGAGAACAGAGGACAGAGAACAGAGGACAGAGAACAGAGGACAGAGGATAGAGAACAGAGGACAGAGGACAGAGGACAGAGGACAGAGAACAGAGGACAGAGGACACAAGACAGAGAACACAGGACAGAGGACACAGGACAGAGGACACAGGACAGAGGGATTACCATGAGATAATGATATATAACATTGCTTCTTATGGCTGAATCCTAATTTTATATAAGTTTACATAACTTGGTGCAAAAATCTGAGTTAAATGCAAATACTGTATCTCAAATTAGGATTCGAGACCTTCACTGCTTTAACAAATAATTGAAATCCATATGGCATTTTATTAGATTTTGTTGTTTGATGTCATGATTTCTGTTACCTCATCAGGCATCTGTTGCATCATTTCCTCTCTGGGGGGGATGTGCTGGCTGTTGCTACTCCTCAGGCCCTGATTGGCTGCCGGTGGGACAGGCTTGGGTGGGAGCCAACCATCATAGAACTCTGGGTTGTAGGGCGGTAGCATGTGACTGTCTGGCCAGTTAGACCTGGTACAACAAACACAGGAAACCAATGAACACCTCGCTGGCTAGTTGCAAAACAGGCAGGTTCAATCAAATACTATTTCAACCCAGGTCTGATAGAAAGTGGATACTAATTAAACCCAGGTCTGGTTATATACAGTACCTAACAAGTAAACCAACCCACATACAGTACATGACCAAAAGTATGTGGACACCTGCTCATCGAACATCTCGTTCCAAAATCATGGGCATTAATATGGAGTTGGTCCCCCCTTTGCTGCTATAACAGCCTCCACTCTTCTGGGAAGGCTTTCCACTAGATGTTGGAACATTGCTGCGGGGACTTGCTTCCATTCAGCCACAAGAGCATTAGTGAGGTCAGGCACTGATGTTGGGCGATTAGGCCTGGCTCGTAGTCGGAGTTCCAATTCATCCCAAAGTTGTTCGATGAGGTTGAGGTCAGGGCTCTGTGCAGGCCAGTCAAGTTCTTCCACACCGAACTCGACAAACCATTTCTGTATGGACCTCGCTTTGTGCACGGGGGCATTGTTTTGCTGAAACAGGAAAGGGCCTTCCCCAAACTGTTGCCACAAAGTTGGAAGCCAGATCGTCTAGAATGTCATTGTATGCCATAGCGTTAAGATTTCCCTTCACTGGAACTAAGGGGCCTAGCCCGAACCATGAAAAACAGCCCCAGACCATTATTCCTCCTCCACCGAACTTACAGTTGGCACTATGTATTTGAGCAGGTAGCGTTCTCCTGGCATCCGCCAAACCCAGATTCGTCCGTCGGACTGCCAGATGGTGAAGTGTAATTCATCACTCCAGGGAAAGCATTTCCACTGCTCCAGAGTCCAATGGCGGCGAGCTTTACACCACTCTAGCCGATGCTTGGCATTGCATATGGTGATCTTAGGCTTGTGTGCGGCTGCTCGGCCATGGAAACCTATTTCATGAAGCTCCCGATGAACAGTTCTTGTGCTGACGTTGCTTCCAGAGGCAGTTTGGAATGTTTCAACCGAGGACAGACAACTTTTACGCGCTACGCGCTTCAGCACTCGGCGGTCCCGTTCTGTGAGCTTGTGTGGCCTACCACTTCCCGACTGAGCCGTTGTTGCTCCTAGACGTTTCCACTTCACAATAACAGCACTTACAGTTGACCGGGGCAGCTCTGGCAGGGCAGAAATTTTACGAATTGACTTGTTGGAAAGGTGGCATCCTAATGACGGTGCCACATTGAAAGTCACTGAGCTCTTCAGTAAAGGCCATTCTACTGCCAATGTTTGTCTATGGAGATTGCATGGCTGTGTGCTTGATTCTATACACCTGTCAGCAACAGGTGTGGCTGAAATAGCCGATTCCACTAATATGAAGGGGTGTCCAAGCTGTCACCCAGGACCCTTCACAGCTGGTCCAGTTAGTTAGAGGTTAGGGGTACTAAGGAAAGGGATAGGGGTACCTAGTTACATTTACATTTTAATCATTTAGCAGACGCTCTTATCCAGAGCGACTTACGGTTAGTGAGTGCATACATTATTGTATTCTTTCATGCTGGCCCCCCGTGGGAATCGAACCAACAACCCTGGCGTTGCAAGCGCCATGCTCTACCAACTGAGCTACACGGGGCGTTAGTTTGTTTGTTTGTGTCGAGGTACTAAGGAAAGGGATAGGTGATACTTAGGGTTGGAATAGAGCCCACTTAGGAAAACGGAGGGGTTGTTAAAGGGGATCCTGGGTATGTTCCAGCTGTCTACCAGAGCTGGTTGTGGGAGTTAGGAGGGGGGAATAGGGAGGGGAACTCAGGAAGTGGTTATGGGGTACTAAGGATCTTTTACCTGGGGATGTTCCAGGCGTCTCCCAGGGCCCTCCATTGCTTGTCCTCCTCTGGGGTGACCACCAGGCTGAGCAGGATGAGGGCTGGCTCTGTCAGCAGGGGGATCAGGACAGAGGTGGGCAGGTCGGGAGGGTAGTGGGACATTAACTGGAATAGAGACAATGACAGGAGAGAGGGAATGGGTCATCCAAATATCTAAACGCTGTGGGACAGGTTTACCGGACATATATTGAAGCTAGAATCCTACATCCATTTTTGGATCTTATATAAATTAATAACATATACCCATTGATTCTTAAAGAATATAACTTATAAATGCGTCATTACCTTAGTTCAACTGTCTATTATTCAAATGTCTATTAATCTGAGAGTGGTTACATTTCTCCAGGCCCATCCCTCAGCTTTTTACCAAAACAAGACAAGACGCTCACCATGCCCAGATTGGAGAAGAGAATGTGGACAAAGTCAGCAGCGCTAGGGTTCTGGATCTCTCCATTCAGTTTCCCCTGTAACAGAAAAGGACCGATGACGACAGAGCTTACCCAGCACAAGAACCAATGAGGCACACATTCCGATTAACACAGGAAGATAAGTTCAGCGATAATGGGCTGTGTTGCAATCGGTACTATAAAGCAGGGTTTCCTAAACTCACCCCAGGAATCTAAACCCCTGAGTTATACAGAGTAATTCAACAGCATACTGTATTTTCAGGTAATATGAAAATACCATTCATTTCTGATTAATTATATGCAATTATAGAAAACCTGAGGTGAATTAAGTCAACACTTAGTTCAAGTCAACATCTGCCATCTTCTGATTTCTTATAGGAGGGAAACATACCAGTAGGTTGAATCCATACTTGATTTTCTGAAGACAGGCGACAAACTCCTCCCAATGTGGCAAGTTGACAGCTAGAGAAAAGAGTCAAATGATTATTTCCCAGTATAGAAAACCCAAATCAGTTATAAATATTTCTGCAGAGCATCAGTCCTTTACCCTAGTGTTTCCTGGCCTGAGTGCCAGTATGTTTGTGCTAACTCCTTGTAACTCACTGTCATGTTTGGCTTGACATTTAGCGTAATGGAGTTGGCAAGAGCACAAACATATCTGGCACCAGTGTTTCCCACACTGATTGGAGATAATTTGACTGAAATCACCGTTTTGCTTTGAGCTTTTCTTCTTCTTCTTCTTCTTGTCCTTGTTCTTGTCTTCATTAGGAACGGCAGCTGATACTTTCTCAATGAACAACTCCAAGTCATTCAGCACATGGTTTAAAATGTCCTACACAGACAAATAATGGAAGAAGGAGCTATTCTAAAGCACATCGAATGACTGAGAAACACACTTTTAAATGTACCCTAAAATGGGTAGCCGGGAATCCAAACAGAATATTTCCTTCACTTCACTGACAGTGAAATGGAGCAATATCCACTACAGATTCCAGGCTACAAAATTGGGGGATATTGTCTGAAATACAACTGCTGTATGTTGCGTTGGGGAACAGATAGCCTGGTTAAACCAGACGGAACAATGCACTTAAAATCTGGTGTAACAGGCTAGGGGCTGGGGTTGGGGGTGAGGCTGGGGTTGGGGGTGAGGCTGGGGGTGAGGATGAAGCTGGGGTTGGGGGTGAGGCTGGGTCTGGGGGTGAGGCTGGGGTTGGGGGTGAGGCTGGGGGTGAGGATGAAGCTGGATCTGGGGGTGAGGCTGGGTCTGGGGGTGAGGCTGGGGACAGGTGTGGGGTTGGGGGGTGAGACTGGGGGTGAAGGGTGAGGCTGGATCTGGGGGTGATGCTGGGTCTGGGGGTGAGGCTGGGGGCAGGTGTGGGGCTGGGGTTGGGGGTGAGGCTGGGGTTGGGGGTTAGGCTGGGGTTGGGGGTTAGGCTGGGGTTGGGGGTTAGGCTGGGGTTGGGGGTGAGGCTGGGGTTGGGGTTGGGGGTGAGGCTGGGGACAGGTGTGGGGTTGGGGGGTGAGGCTGGGGGTGAAGGGTGAGGCTGGATCTGGGGGTGATGCTGGGTCTGGGGGGTGAGGCTGGGGCCAGGTGTGGGGCTGGGGTTGGGGGTGAGGCTGGGGTTGGGGGTGAGGCTGGGGTTGGGGGTGAGGCTGGGGTTGGGGGTAAGGGGTTATGGTTAGGGTGTTGTGTTAGGCAACAGACACAGTACTGACCACACTCCTCTGTGTGTCAGTGTATTGAGGGTGGGGGGGCTCTTGGTCTCTAGCTCCGTACTGCTGTGACCCTCCGTACATCTCCTGACCGTACAGTGGCTGCTGTGGTGGGCTGAAGACTGGAGGCAGAGGAAAGCTCTCTGGAAACACACACGGATGAAGACAGATCTCAACCTTAGGCATTCAACTCAATTTTTGCAGTAAAGCATAAAGGAAATTCCTTGCAGCCATTCTCAAAACTCATTGGAGGAGAAGGTTCGAAGGGAGGGACCTTGGCACCTCTCCTTTAATGCACTATGAAAGGGAGTCAAGGAATTGAGGAATCAAGGACAGGAGAAATCAAGGACAGGAGGAATCAAGGACAGGAGAAATCAAGGACAGGAGGAATCAAGGACAGGAGGAATCAAGGACAGGAGGAATCAAGGACAGGAGGAATCAAGGACAGGAGGAATCAAGGACAGGAGGAATCAAGGACAGGAGGAATCAAGGACAGGAGGAATCAAGGACAGGAGGAATCAAGGACAGGAGGAATCAAATATTTGACGCCTTGTACACTTTCAAGACAGAGCTAAAGACTGACCATTCTCCCTGCTGTTCCTGTCGTTGTACAGCAGGGCGGGACGGTCAGGGGGAGGGGGGGTCCTCTCCTGCAGCATCATGGGAGGAGGAGGATTACTCCTGAAAAAGAGAGAGGTTCAAGAGGTGCGTGTGTGTGTGTGTGCGTGCGTGTGTGCGTGCGTGTGTGCGTGTGTGTGTGCATGTGTGTGCGTGTGTGTGTGTGTGCGTGTTCTGATGTCGTACTGGTGTCTGCTTGGTTCTCTGCGAGGTTCAGGAGGAGGAGCGTTGGCGTTGTGTTGAACAGCCTTGTCCAGGTCTTCTCTGATGTGCTCTGCCTAGAAGAACAGACAGAACAATCTCCTATTTCTACAGGTTAGTCTCATTAAGACACTGCTAGGTGACACCAGGTGGAGTGTTAGCATTGTGTTGGACAGCCCTGTCCAGGTCTCTGATGGGTTCTGCCCAGAGGAACAAACATAACCAATCTGGCTCAGGATACCTCATACACTACATCCCTACACCCAGGGCTGGAATATGGGTTGAGGAGGAACTCATGGGAGCACAGTTCCCAATGTGAAATCGTTTTGACATTAATAAATACATAAAGGGTACTATGAGCTGGATTCCTGCTACTTTCACAGTGGTGAATTCCGAGTTACTTTTTCCTAATTCCAGCTATGACTATCCAAGATATTCTCCTACCAAAAGGTTAAGAAATACTATATCCAATCGTTCACTGATGTTTCCCCAGAGTCAGACAGTGGGGTGAAACACACTTCACATCTCTACCTGAAAGAAAAGGCATCTGTTTAACTTGTCGGTATTAGCTGAGGTTATGGTGAAATGTGTAACTTGTCCATGTACAGTGATGTTAGGGTGGTGAAATCTGTCTCACTCACCCTGACCTCCTCACACTGAAACATGAAGACTTGAGCGATGCGTCTGTTGCGTTCCTGGACCATAACGGTGAGCAGGGAGTTGTAGGCACAGGTGTCCAACACGGCCTTGGTCTGAACTACACTTCCCAGAGGCACAGACTCCAGCTCTGTCTGTAGAGAGAACAGAGGGGTAGGGAGAAGGTGAGCAGGGAGTTGTAGGCACAGGTGTCCAACACGGCCTTGGTCTGAACTACACTTCCCAAAGGCACATACTCCAGCTCTGCCTGTAGAGAGAACTCATGCCGCGTTCACGTGCTAGTCGGAACTCTGACATTTCCGACTTGCTAACTGGTTGAACACGGCACGTGTATAACTCCAACCAGTTCGTTAACAAGTCGGCAACATCAGAGTTTCCTAGTTCCGACTTGTGAACGTGGCAAAAGAGACACAGCGTGACTTCATAAGATTGCCTGGACACAGATGAAGTCAAGCTAATACAAGTTATACAATACCCAATACCACTGTATTTCTAATTTGCATCATTATGGTATTCCAAACCCACACACCCGCCCGCCTCTGTACCACACATAAGAATAACTGAACTGAACTTTGATCTCCACAGTATAAATGTTGTTTGTCACCAGCATTCGACACAGACAGGAACAATACAGACACAGGCGTACAACAGACTGTCGTGTCTGTTACTGACAACACATCTATTACAGAGACAGTACCTTGGGTCTCCATATACAAACAAGAGATACATTTTGATACATTGTACATCGTCTAGAGACAGTTGACAACCTTGGTCTCGATGTCGTTGAGCTGCAGGTATCCTCCCTGGACCTCCAGGATCATCTCCTGTCCCCAGACCCGGCCCTTAGCCTGCAGTCTCTGCAGCCTGGCCACACAGTCATCCAGGCTACGCACCTCCTGGCCGTCCAAGTCACACGTAAACAGGTGCTAGAATAGAATGTGAACAGGTGCTAGAATAGAATGTAAACAGGTGCTAGAATAGAATGTGAACAGGTGCTAGAATAGAATGTGAACAGGTGCTAGAATAGAATGTAAACAGGTGCTAGAATAGAATGTGAACAGGTGCTAGAATAGAATGTGAACAGGTGCTAGAATAGAATGTGAACAGGTGCTAGAATAGAATGTGAACAGGTGCTAGAATAGAATGTGAACAGGTGCTAGAATAGAATGTGAACAGGTGCTAGAATAGAATGTGAACAGGTGCTAGAATAGAATGTGAACAGGTGCTAGAATAGAATGTGAACAGGTGCTAGAATAGAATGTGAACAGGTGCTAGAATAGAATGTGAACAGGTGCTAGAATAGAATGTGAACAGGTGCTAGAATAGAATGTGAACAGGTGCTAGAATAGAATGTGAACAGGTGCTAGAATAGAATGTAAACAGGTGCTAGAATAGAATGTGAACAGGTGCTAGAATAGAATGTGAACAGGTGCTAGAATAGAATGTGAACAGGTGCTAGAATAGAATGTGAACAGGTGCTAAAATAGAATGTGAACAGGTGCTAGAATAGAATGTGAACAGGTGCTAGAATAGAATGTGAACAGGTGCTAGAATAGAATGTGAACAGGTGCTAAAATAGAATGTAAACAGGTGCTAGAATAGAATGTGAACAGGTGCTAGAATAGAATGTGAACAGGTGCTAGAATAGAATGTGAACAGGTGCTAGAATAGAATGTGAACAGGTGCTAGAATAGAATGTGAACAGGTGCTAGAATATAATGTGAACAGGTGCTAGAATAGAATGTGAACAGGTGCTAGAATAGAATGTGAACAGGTGCTAGAATAGAATGTGAACAGGTGCTAGAATAGAATGTGAACAGGTGCTAGAATAGAATGTGAACAGGTGCTAGAATAGAATGTGAACAGGTGCTAGAATAGAATGTGAACAGGTGCTAGAATAGAATGTGAACAGGTGCTAGAATAGAATGTGAACAGGTGCTAGAATAGAATGTGAACAGGTGCTAGAATAGAATGTGAACAGGTGCTGTTAAGCAGAGTTAAAGGGAGACATGACTCCTGTTCTATGGAAGCTATCTGGTTGTTTGTTGATTGTTTCAGAATACTCCTTCCTTTGCACTGAAAGATTGAATTGAACCATTACGCCTAGTGCTTACTGAAAGATTGAATTGAACAAATAGGCTTAGTGCTTACCAAAATTTGAGTTTGAGTTTATTTTTATGCAGACAGAGAAACATAGAACAAGCAACACGTAGCACGCAGACAGAGCAACATAGAACAAGCAACACGTAGCACACAGACAGAGTGACATAGAACAAGCAACACGTAGCACACAGACAGAGCAAACATAAGAACAAGCAACATCGTAGCACGCAGACAAAGTAAACATAGAACAAGCCAACACGTAAGCACGCAGACAGAGAAAGACTAGAACAACGCAACACGTAGCACGCAGACGGAGCAACATGTAGCACCAAACGAGCAACATAGAACAAGCAACACGTTAGCCACGCAGACCAGAGAAACAAGAACAAGCAACACGTAGCACGCAGACAGAGCAACATAGAACAAGCAACACGTAGCACGCAGACAGAGCAACATAGAACAAGCAACACGTAGCACGCAGACAGAGCAACATAGAACAAGCAACACGTAGCACACAGACAGAGAAACATAGAACAAGCAAACGTAGCACGCAGACAGAGAAAACATAGAACAAGCAACACTTAGCACGCAGAACAGAGAACTAGACAAGCACACGTAGCAACGCCGACAGAGCAACATAGAACAAGCAACACGTAGCACGCAGACAGAGCAACATAGAACAAGCAACACATAGCACGCAGACAGAGCAACATAGAACAAGCAACACGTAGCACGCAGACAGAGCAACATAGAAAAGCAACACGTAGCACGCAGACAGAGCAACATAGAACAAGCAACCACGTAGCCGCAGACAGAGCAACCATATAACAAGCAACACGCCCCCCCCACTAGCACGCAGACAACGAGCAACATAGAACAAGCAACACGTAGCACGCAGACAGAGAAACATAGAACAAGCAACATGTAGCACGCAGACAGAGCAACATAGAACAAGCAACACGTAGCACGCAGACAGAGAAACATAGAACAAGCAACACGTAGCACGCAGACAGAGCAACATAGAACAAGCAACACGTAGCACGCAGACAGAGCAACATAGAACAAGCAACACGTAGCACGCAGACAGAGCAATAGCGCAAAAAGCAACAAAACAAAATATACAAAAGCAACAGTGTTTCCACACCTCACAAGCTACAGACAACATGGAAAAGAGTCAATACACAAAAATGATTCCCGCATTGGGTAAGCATGATTGAGGTGAACTTTGAACTCACTGTATATGGATCTGGCATTGGGCCTGGACAAACTGGACCTCTGAGAGGGAGGATCCACCTGAGGGAACCCTCTACAACACACACACACACACATTACTAACTCTGCTGTGTACTTACAGGCAATACAACATTACTGTATGTCGTCTGACAACTAGATCAACAAGCACCTTATGAAGTGCAGTATGTTAGCAATGTTCAGATCAACTAACTCTAAGGGAGTTTTAGCATTGCCACACAATATGATGTATCGTTTATATAGTAACGGGAGTGTGTAGTTAGTACAGCCAGTCTCCAGAGGACACCCATGATGTGAGGTGGCTGATCATATCGCTACTGTCTTTCCTTGACCGGATTTAGCAACCCACTTAATAATCAAGACAACGAGAACACAGATGTGCACTGTACCTTGGTTGAGAGGAAAACAGCCCGCTATTGTTCCCAAACATTTTTGAATCGTGACGTCACCAACCTGCAAAAAGGGCAAAGGTCATGATAGTGTATCAGCCGGTCTTGCGAAAACAGCGTGTGACCTGTGACCTGCTTTGATCACATGACAGGAAAGAGATGTACAGGAAACCTGCCATAAAAGAAATAGAACTACCACGCATCACAGAACGATGACTTGGAATGGGGATGATCGTTCAACTCTAGTTCTATAGAAGCTCACACACCTTTAGTTCTGACTGAGTAATCAGTCTTACAAGCAGACAGTTATTATGAATCCGGAAATGTGCCAATTCAGTTGACTTACAGTACCAGTCAAAAGTTTGGACACACCTACTCATTCAAGGGTTTTTCTTTATTTTTTACTATTTTCTACATTGTAGAATAATAGTGAAGACATCAAAACTGTGAAATAAAACATATGGAATCATGTAGTAACCAAAAACGTGTTAAACAAATCAAAACATATTTTATGTTTGAGATTCTTCAAATAGCCACCGTTTGACTTGATGACAGCTTTGCACACGCTTGGCATTCTCTCAACCAGCTTCACCTGGAATGCTTTTCCAACAGTCTTGAAGGAGTTCCCACATATGCTTAGCACTTGTTGGCTGCTTTTCCTTCACTCTGCTGTCCGACTCATCCCAAACCATCTCAATTGGGTTGAGGTCGGGGGATTATGGAGGCCAGGTCATCTGATGCAGCACTCCATCACTCTCCTTCTTGATAAAATAGCCCTTACACAGCCTGGAGGTGTGTTGGGTCATTGTCCTGTTGAAAAACAAATGATAGTCCCACTAAGCCCAAACCAGATGGGATGGCGTATGGCTGCAGAATGCTGTGGTAGCCATGCTGGTTAAGTGTGCCTTGAATTCTAAATATATCACACAGTGTCACCAGCAAAGCACCCCCACACCTCCTCCATGCTTTACGGTGTGATATATTTATACATGCGGAGATCATCCGTTCACCCACACCGCATCTCATAAAGACACGGCGGTTGGAACCAAAAATCTCAAATTTTGACTCCAGACCAAAGGACAATTTCCCCCCGGTCTAATGTCCATTGCTCGTGTTTCTGGGCCCAAGCAGGTCTCTTCTTCTTATTGGTGTCCTTTAATAGTGTTTTGTTTTGCAGCAATTCGACCATGAAGGCCTGATTCACACAGTCCCCTCTGAACAGTTGATGTTGAGATGTCTGTTACTTGAACTCTGTGAAGCATTTATTTGGGCTGCAATTTCTGAGGCTGGTAACTCTAATGAATTTATCCTCTGCAGCAGAGGTAACTCTGGGTCTTCCATTCCTGTGGCGGTCCTCATGAGAGCCAGTTCCATCAAAGCACTTGATTGGTTCAAACGCATTAAGAAGGAAAGAAATTCCACAAATTAACTTTTAAGAAGGCACGCCTGTTAATTGAAATGCATTCCAGGTGACTACCTCATGAAGCTGGTTGAGAGAATGCCAAGAGTGTGCAAAGCTGTCATCAAGGCAAAGGGTGGCCATTTGAAGAATCTCAAATATAACATATTTTGATTTGTTTAACTCTTTTTTGGTTACTACATGATTCCATATGTGTTATTTCATAGTTGTGATGTCTTCACTATTATTCTACAATGTAGAAAATAGTAAAAATAAAGAAAAACCCTTGAATGAGTAGGTGTGTCCAAACTTTTGACTGGTAGTGTAGGAAACCAAGAACGAACAAGCTGAGTTACACAAACTTTGCATCAGTCAGACACTGGTTAATCACTACCAAGGATTTTTTTCCTAGTGGTTGGCAATTTATATAGAATATAAAACACTTGCTATCACCTCTGTTCACAAACCAGTATATATCCCATACAACAGGTGAATGGTTAAGGTTAAGGTGAAATAGTTCCGAGAAACATGTCGACAAGAAAGCAAATCATGAATGAATTAATGCTTGAAATGTGAAGTGATTGTCAATGAAAGTTGGCCTAGAAATCAAAGTAATATTTCAGGTCTAATCATTCTCATCGCAGAACAGGGAACATTTCGACGGCAATACAAATAGTCTGATAAGGCTTATAAAAAGGGCATGGCAAGACCTCAAAACATACCTCAGTGTTCTATTCAGTCAGCAGCTGACATACCTCAGTGTTCTATTCAGTCAGCAGCAGACAAACCTCAGTGTTCTATTCAGTCAGCAGCTGACATACCTCAGTGTTCTATTCAGTCAGCAGCTGACATACCTCAGTGTTCTATTCAGTCAGCAGCAGACATACCTCAGTGTTCTATTCAGTCAGCAGCAGACATACCTCAGTGTTCTATTCAGTCAGCAGCTGACATACCTCAATGTTCTATTCAGTCAGCAGCTGACATACCTCAGTGTTCTATTCAGTCAGCAGCTGACATACCTCAGTGTTCTATTCAGTCAGCAGCTGACATACCTCAGTGTTCTATTCAGTCAGCAGCTGACATACCTCAGTGTTCTATTCAGCCATCAGCTGGCATACCTCAGTGTTCTATTCAGTCAGCAGCTGACATACCTCAGTGTTCTATTCAGTCAGCAGCTGACATACCTCAGTGTTCTATTCAGTCAGCAGCTGACATACCTCAGTGTTCTATTCAGTCAGCAGCAGACATACCTCAGTGTTCTATTCAGCCATCAGCTGACATACCTCAGTGTTCTATTCAGTCAGCAGCAGACATACCTCAGTGTTCTATTCAGTCAGCAGCAGACATACCTCAGTGTTCTATTCAGTCAGCAGCAGACATACCTCAGTGTTCTATTCAGCCATCAGCTGACATACCTCAGTGTTCTATTCAGTCAGCAGCTGACATACCTCAATGTTCTATTCAGTCAGCAGCTGACATACCTCAATGTTCTATTCAGTCAGCAGCTGACATACCTCAGTGTTCTATTCAGCCATCAGCTGACATACCTCAGTGTTCTATTCAGTCAGCAGCTGACATACCTCAGTGTTCTATTCAGTCAGCAGCAGACATACCTCAGTGTTCTATTCAGCCATCAGCTGACATACCTCAGTGCTCTATTCAGTCAGCAGCAGACATACCTCAATGTTCTATTCAGTCAGCAGCTGACATACCTCAGTGTTCTATTCAGTCAGCAGCTGACATACCTCAGTGTTCTATTCAGTCAGCAGCTGACATACCTCAATGTTCTATTCAGTCAGCAGCTGACATACCTCAATGTTCTATTCAGTCAGCAGCTGACATACCTCAGTGTTCTATTCAGCCATCAGCTGACATACCTCAGTGTTCTATTCAGTCAGCAGCTGACATACCTCAGTGTTCTATTCAGTCAGCAGCAGACATACCTCAGTGTTCTATTCAGCCATCAGCTGACATACCTCAGTGCTCTATTCAGTCAGCAGCAGACATACCTCAATGTTCTATTCAGTCAGCAGCTGACATACCTCAGTGTTCTATTCAGTCAGCAGCTGACATACCTCAGTGTTCTATTCAGTCAGCAGCTGACATACCTCAGTGTTCTATTCAGTCAGCAGCTAACATACCTCAGTGTCATGGGCGGTGTGTTCAATAGGGCGATATGGGCGACGCACTGCCAAACGGGAAAAGGAAGGGATTTTTTTTCTAATCAATTATATCACGGCAACAGTAGTTATCAGTGTTCACGTCTGATCTGCCAGCCACTAAATATCAAATCAGGCTAAAGTCGTGCTTCAAATGGCCCCGCCCGTTTTTGGGGCGATTTCAGTCAAGTTGAAAATCGCCCAGAAGTCTCTCATAGCCTGTCATGTAAAATCTATTTTTTTCAAATTTCAAAGCTTTCAATACATTCTCTATGGGTGTCTGTGGGCATGCACTTACGCGCTTTCGTCATACGTGACGTAACCATGAACGTAACTAAGACAATGGCGGCTAGCAGCGTCTCTGTTGTGACCTGCAGTGTGGCGTTATTTTATGTTTTTAATTTGTAGACTTAGTTTACAAACATTCTGCAAACATTCTGCTTTGAACTGATCTTTCGGTTTTGGACTGATCTTGTTGATCGTGTACATACCCGCTACGAACGGACTAAATAATGAAAACGCTGCTGGCAGCGGAATCCCAATACAGCTGGGAGACTTGGCTGGATGACAGAGTCCCGGACAGAGAAGTGGAGCCGGCCACCTTCACCCTGGTCAGAGCGGACCGCGATCCTGGTAAGAGAGCGACTCTGTACCCCGACATTGAACTGCTTTCTGTGTCATTGCGACCTTACTATCAATTCAATTCAATTTAAGGGCTTTATTGGCATGGGAAACGTGTGTTAACATTGCCAAAGCAAGGGAAGTAGATAGTAAACAAAAGTGAAATAAACAATAAATATTAACAGTAAACATTACACTCAGAAGTTTCAAAAGAATAAAGACATTTCAAATGTCATATTATGTATATATACAGTGTTGTTACAATGTGCAAATAGTTAAAGTACAAATGGGAAAATAAATAAACATAAATATGGGTTGTATTTACAATGGTGTTTGTTCTTCACTGGTTGCCCTTTTCTTGTGGCAACAGGTCACAAATCTTGCAGCTGTGATGGCACACTGTGGTTTTTCACCCAGTAGATAAGGGAGTTTATCAAAATTGGGTTTGTTTTCGAATTCTTTGTGGATCGCTGTAATCTGAGGGAAATATGTGTCTCTAATATGGTCATACATTTGGCAGGAGGTTAGGAAGTGCAGCTCAGTTTCCACCTCATTTTGTGGGCAGTGTGCACATAGCCTGTCTTCTCTTGAGAGCCAGGTCTGCCTACGGCGGCCTTTCTCAATAGCAAGGCTATGGTCACTGAGTCTGTACATAGTCAAAGCTTTCCTTAAGTTTGGGTCAGTCACAGTGGTCAGGTATTCTGCCACTGTGTACTCTCTGTTTAGGGCCAAATAGCATTCTAGTTTGCTCTGTTTTTTTGTTTGTTCTTTCCAATGTGTCAAGTAATTCTCTTTTTGTTTTCTCATGATTTGGTTGGGTCTAATTGTGTTGTTGTTGTTGTTGTTGTTGTTGTTGTCCTGGGGCTGTGTGGGGTCTGTTTGTGTTTGTGAACAGAGGCCCAGGACAAGCTTACTTAGGGGACTCTTCTCCAAGTTCATCTCTCTGTAGGTGATGGCTTTGTTATGGAAGGTTTGGGAATCGCTTCCTTTTAAGTGGTTACTATCTGCCCCGTGAGTTCCCCCAATTGTTTGTTACCGTTGTGTACTGTTGATAATCACAAGTTTACTGGAGAACTGAGACCAAGTAGAGACTTTGGACAGGGTGGATATGGTATAATAAAGGCAGTTTATTCAGAGGTAAAGATATCTGGAATCGCGTGCACGGACTCGTTCGTGCACGCGAGTAAAGTAAAAGTGTCCTGTCTTAGGTCAGCTAGGATCACCACTCCTTGGCCACCTGCTGACAAGGCTGACAAGATAGGACTCTTTTGTCCATTGTTATAGGATAGGAACAGAAACAAACGCCCAACACAAAATGGGTCATGCACAAGATTTTAGTCAGACCAAGCTATAACATTATATATTTACTACGACAGTACATTCAACCAAAAGCTAATATAACAAAGGCATCAGAGATTATTTATAATCTGTCACAGAAACTGGAATCCATCTCCCCAGATCAGTCAATAAATGCTTCTGGTATTGACTTATATGCTGCCCCTGTCTTCATGTTGTTGCTGGACATATCTTTTTTAAAATGTGTGTAGGTCACCTAAATCATCAGAAAAATTGCCCCTCCTGAGAATTTTTTCAGGAGCCGCCACTGCTCAGTGTTCTATTCAGTCAGCAGCAGACATACCTCAGTGTTCTATTCAGCCATCAGCTGACATACCTCAGTGTTCTATTCAGTCAGCAGCAGACATACCTCAGTGTTCTATTCAGTCAGCAGCTGACATACCTCAGTGTTCTATTCAGCCATCAGCTGACATACCTCAGTGTTCTATTCAGTCAGCAGCTGACATACCTCAGTGTTCTATTCAGTCAGCAGCTGACATACCTCAGTGTTCTATTCAGTCAGCAGCTGACATACCTCAGTGTTCTATTCAGTCAGCAGCTGACATACCTCAGTGTTCTATTCAGTCAGCAGCTGACATACCTCAGTGTTCTATTCAGTCAGCAGCAGACATACCTCAGTGTTCTATTCAGTCAGCAGCAGACATACCTCAGTGTTCTATTCAGTCAGCAGCTGACATACCTCAGTGTTCTATTCAGTCAGCAGCTGACATACCTCAGTGTTCTATTCAGTCAGCAGCTGACATACCTCAGTGTTCTATTCAGTCAGCAGCTGACATACCTCAGTGTTCTATTCAGTCAGCAGCTGACATACCTCAGTGTTCTATTCAGTCAGCAGCTGACATACCTCAGTGTTCTATTCAGTCAGCAGCATACATACCTCAGTGTTCTATTCAGTCAGCAGCAGACATACCTCAGTGTTCTATTCAGTCAGCAGCTGACATACCTCAGTGTTCTATTCAGTCAGCAGCTGACATACCTCAGTGTTCTATTCAGTCAGCAGCAGACATACCTCAGTGTTCTATTCAGTCAGCAGCTGACAGTTGAACAGCAGTCTTCCTCCTTTAAAATGGGTCCTTAGCCAGTATAGTAAAATAAGAGATGTATGTAACACTGATCTAAAAGGTAGGCTTAGTCCCAGTTCACCTTGCCAGGTACCACCACAGTTATATATCAACTAGTTCATAACACATTTACTACCTTCCAGGTGACAATAAAAACCATTTCCCTACTGGCTAAAAAGTATGTGGTCACAAAATCAATATTTACTAATGGAGATATCAGTAATAAATGCAATGTTGATTCTGTTATGAAGCTAAACAAATTCAGACTGCAATAAACAGTGCATTCGGAAAGTGTCCAGACCCCTTGAATTTTTCCACATTGTTACAGCCTTATTCTAAAATTGATTAAATCGTTTTTTTCTTCCATAATTCCAATCTACACACAATACCCCATAATGACAAAGCAAAAACAGGTTTAGACATTTTTTCTAATGTATAAAAAAAAACTCCTGAGCGCTCTGGAAAAGGTTTTCATCAAGGATCTCTCTGTACTTTGCTCCGTTCAATCTTTGACGCTTGGCATTCAGGCCAAAGAGTTCAATCTTGGTTTCATCAGACCATAGAATCTTGTTTCTCATGGTCTGAGAGTCTTTAGGTGCCTTTTGGCAAATTCCAAGTGTGCTGTCATGTCCTTTTACTGAGGAGTGGCTTCCGTCTGGCCACTCTACCATAAAGGCCTGATTGGTGGAGTGCTGCAGAGATGGTTGTCCTTCTGGAAGGTTCTCCCATCTCCACAGAGGAACTCTGGAGCTCTGTCAAAGTGACTATCGGGTTCTTGGTCACATCCCTGACCAAGGCCCTTCTCTCCCGATTGCTCAGTTTGGCCGGGCGGCCAGCTCTAGGAAGAGTCTTGGTGGTTCCAAACTTCTTCTATTTAAGAATGATGGAGGCCACTGTGTGACATTTTTTTGTACCCTTCCCCAGATCTGTGCCTCGACACAATCCTGTCTCGGAGCTCTAGACAACTCCTTCCACCTCATGGCTTGGTTTATGCTCTGACATGCAGTCAACTGTGGGATCTTATATAGACAGGTGTGTGCCTTCCAAATCATGTCTAATCAATAGAATTTACCACAGGTGGACTCAAATCAAGTTGTAGAAACATCTCAAGGATGATCAATGGAAACAGGATGCGCCTGAGCTCAATTTCGAGTCTCATAGCAAAGGGTCTGAATATTTAAGTAAATACGGGATTTGTTTTAATTTGTAATACATTTGCTAAAATGTCTAAAAACCAGTTTTCCCTTTGTCATTATGGGGTATTGTGTGTAGATTGAGAAAAATATTTTAAAAAATCAATTTTAGAATAAGGCTGTAATGTAACAAAATGTGGAAAAAGGGAAGGGGTCTGAATACTTTCCGAATGCACCAACTTGCAATAACTTTATTCCAAAGCTCATCATTGTCCTTTCTTGGTCCCTCCCGTATTTCCACATTTCTGTATCTTTATACCACAGACATTTCAGTACAGTACATATTTTTATATAGTCTCTTAAGCATCCACTTGGATGAAGTCCAATATTATTACCTGTGAATGTAGCCTGTGTCCTCAATTCACTGTTCCATGATCAATCCTCTTATATTCCAATAGTGGCATACATGTTCGAGGAGCAGCATCCAACACAATCGGCAGGTTTAAAAAAAAATATGGACAATTATTATCCTTGACTTCCTGCTTGGAAACGCCACGGTCAAAGTCCACCTGCGAGAGTGCATTCAGTGAGGTGAACATTTGACAGTTGATAGAAAACATAACTACAGCCGTGTCCCGTCTCCTTGTACTACACATACAGTCGTATCTGTCCCAACACATTCCTATCGCTAACGTTACACACTCCTGAACAGGTCCCAGCAGCGACAGAGAATGGCCAGCCCCACAGCTAAAGTGCGTCCCAAACAGCACCCTGTATAGCGCACTACTTATGACCAGGAGCCATAGGGAATAGGGTGTAATTTGGGACTCTGCCCTTAGTTTCTATAAGGGTCATTACGGCTCGATGGAAAGCAACAAATCTCTGTTTTTTTTTGTCCGTTATGAGTCCAAAGGGTTGGGAATGCCTGGCAGATTATTAGCGCCCCACAAGACAGGAAACGTTAAGACCTCTTACGCAATTTTCCAACAGTGTGTTATCACCTACAGTACACCATTAGAATCTAACAAAACTGGGCCTGGTATAACAGAACTTGTGGTGGGGGCCATTTTGCTGAAAAACAAAATCCCAGATTGTTGCTTTGAACCAGAACCCACACTAACAACAAATATTATCAAAAGTGTTTTCAGCACGTTGAGGATCGTAACAGCACTATCAGACGGTTAATAACGCCAAACTATAAAGGTTAGTGAATAAAATGAACCTTTTATTTTATGATCAGTTGATGTGTATATACACTCATAACATGGACAGAGACCATATCGTTAAGAGGAAATAGTTGATTTGTAATGAAAAGTGGGCATCAATGAGTTGGGGTTCAGTGGCAAAGGTGTAGACAGCACAGTAGTGAGTTATGCAGTGGCCTTAGCCTGCTGGATTTTAGCCAACACCTTCAGGTCTGTGATGCACTTGGCAATACTCGCCTTCTCCTGAAACACAGAACGAACAAACACGGTTAGTCAGACAGCAAGGCATTAGCAAGGTCAAGGGTCAACTGAAACAAGAATACATTTTTTAAAAAGTCAAAATAAACCAAATTGCAGCGGGTTGAGCTGTAATTCTGTTGCCCATCAATACAGCAAACGCCGGCTGACATTTGCCAAGTTCATTTTGAGAACAAGCTACCTACCTACCAGAAACATGGCAGGGTACAGTAACTACCTCTAGTGGAGAGTTTAATTTTATTTTTTATACACCGTATCTCTCTGAGATTTTATTTTCTGACTCACCTGTATACTGTTACACCTTCCACCTACATACACACCAACTACATACTGACTATATACGCACACACACGACTACACACACCGACTACATTTACATTTACATTTTAGTCATTTAGCAGACGCTCTTATCCAGAGCGACTTACAGTTAGTGAATACATATTTTTTTAATACTGGCCCCCCGTGGGAATCGAACCCACAACCCTGGCATTGCAAACGCCATGCTCTATCAACTGAGCTACATCCCTGCCGGCCATTCCCTCCCCTACCCTGGACGACGCTGGGCCAATTGTGCGCCGCCCATGAGTCTCCCGGTCGCGGCCGGCTGCGACAGAGCCTGGATTCGAACCAGGATCTAGTGGCACAGTTAGCACTGCGATGCAGTGCCTTAGACCACTGCGCCACTCAGGAGAGTGACTACCCACTCACACGACTATATACCAACTATACACACACTGACTACACACTCCAGTCAAGTATGTAATGTTCCCATCTGTCTCCCATCCCTAACCCACCTGCTGGGGGGTGATGCTGGTGACAACGTTCTTCTCCACCCAGTTAACCATGTGTTCCTGCTCCATGCGGCGGTGGAGGGCCTGCAGGGCGATCTGGTAGTCCAGCCTCTTCTTCACCTCGTTGGTCACCATGTGGACCCTCTCCCTGCGGTTGGTCTCCAGCAGCATGGCCACGTTGTTCTGAGGTGGGGGGGGTGGGGGAGGAGAGGAGGGAATGAGGAGGGAAGAGGAGGAAAGGAGAAGAGGACAGGAGAGGACAGGACACAGGAGAAGAGGACAGGAGAAGAGGACAGGACAACAGGAGAAGAGGACAGGAGGAGAGGACAGGAGGACAGGACAACAGGACAGGAGGAGAGGACAGGAGGACAGGACAACAGGACAGGAGGAGAGGACAGGAGGACAGGACAACAGGACAGGAGAAGAGGACAGGAGGACAGGACAACAGGAGAAGAGGACAGGACAACAGGAGAAGAGGACAGGAGAAGAGGACAGGACAGGAGGAGAGGACAGGAGAAGAGGACAGGACAACAGGAGAAGAGGACAGGAGAAGAGGACAGGACAGGAGGAGAGGACAGGACAACAGGAGAAGAGGACAACAGGAGAAGAGGACAGGAGAAGAGGAGAAGAGGACAGGAGGACAGGACAACAGGAGAAGAGGACAGGAGGACAGGACAACAGGAGAAGAGGACAGGACAGGAGAAGACATTAGTACACCATCTCATGCCAAAATCCTACCAAGACATTACAGTCTGGTTTCCCAGACCCAGATAAAGTTTAGTCTTGAACTAAAACACTCTTTCAACAGATATTCTCCATTGAGAATGATTTTTAATCAAGGTCTATGCTCAATTAAACCAGCCCTAGGAGTGGTTACACAGAGTAAAGACCATGTTCAATAGGTCTCTATCAAATGCTTTTTAGTTGGCTTGATTCCACCTAATTTGGGTGTGTATGGTCGAGCCTAGATTTTAGCTCAGATTTAACACGGTCTTGAATGCATAAAGGAGACCCGTGTTCTACCCTCAGTCAGTCACACTCACCCTCTTAGCGTCGAAGAGCATCTGTCGGCCCTCCGCCCTCCACTGTTCCTTCTTCTCATCCTGGATGGCCTGAGCCAAGCTGCTCATGGCCAGGTCCTTCACTTCCTGAGCCTTCTGAACTTTCTCCTGTAAAACCACACAGACAACATCAGAGGGTCAGGGTCATAGGTCAGCTATGAGACTACGAGCCTCAGAGGGACCGTTTGGCGTACGATGGACCGTTTGGACCGTTTGCAGCATGGGACCGTTTGGACCGTTTGCAGTATGGACCGTTTGCAGTATGGACCGTTTGCAGTATGGACCGTTTGCAGTATGGACCGTTTGCAGTATGGACCGTTTGCAGTATGGATCCATTTCCTCAAACATATGAAATGTCTCTGAACTGGCTGGCATTAAGGGGGAGCTCAAAGCCTAAATTTAAAATTGAGTAGAAACGAGGCTGTGTGTTGACATGGTGCATCTTTTCAGCACTCCAGAGCACAACTACAACATACATTTATGCTAACAACTCCTGCAATGAATGATCAAATAACCCAAACAGACCGAGGACAAATTCCCCACCTCGTTCAGTTTGTCAGCGAAAGCTGCAACGTCGGGGCCGAATTTCTTGACACCATAGATGATGACGGTACCCATGCAGGCAGCAGCGAAGGTCTCGTGGTTGATGATGTAGATCTCCTTGGAGAGGATGTATGTGAGTAGCCCAGCACCCAGCATGTAGGGGCCTGGAGACAACAGGACAGGAGTGAGGTGAGTGTCAAGGGAAGAGTAGATGGGAGGAAAGGAGGAGAGAAGAGGAGGAGATGAGGAGAGGAGGAAAGGAGGAGAGAAGAGGAGGAGATGAGGGGAGGAGGAAAGGAGGAGAGGAGAGAGAGGAGGAGGAGGAGAGAGGAGGAGATGAGGGGAGGAGGAGAGAGGAGGAGATGAGGGGAGGAGGAGAGAAGAGGAGATGATGAGGGGAGGAGGAGAGAAGAGGAGATGAGGGGGAGGAGGAGATGAGGGCAGGAGGAGAGGAGGAGATGAGGGGAGGAGGAGATGAGGGCAGGAGGAGAGGAGGAGATGAGGGGAGGAGGAGAGGAGGAGATGAGGGGAGGAGGAGATGAGGGGAGGAGGAGAGAAGAGGAGGAGATGAGGGCAGGAGGGGAGGAGGAGATGAGGGGAGGAGGAGAGGAGGAGAGAAGAGGAGGAGATGAGGAAAGGTGAGAGGAGTGACCACATTCAATATGCAAACATCGTTGATCACGCAGATAGAAATGTAACGAATACAGCTGAAATTATTAGTCTACATATCAGTGAGGCATGTCTGTTCTACATGTCATATTTCTATCCGAACGTTGCTGAACGATGCTCCAGGTTTGGGGAAGTTCTACTGACCTGTGACTCCAGTCTTTGGGTACAGGAGCTGAAAGAGTTCCTCTGGGATGATTCCATGGCGTGTCTTGCCTCCTTTGTCTGGCAGAGCGGGGACTGGGGCCTGGCTGCTGGGGGACGTGTGGAGGTGGGACAGCTGGACCAACCTGGGAGGACAGACAGACGACTTATTACAGGAACTGCAGAAGGGATGGGCATGTAGATCTTAAATGTTGAGTTCAAGGTGACCGTTATAATTTTGTCACCCTTATTTCAGTTTATATGTATATTTAATAAATACCAATGTTTGCTTCAGTTAAAGGTTGGAAGTCATAATAAGACAACAGATGCATACCCAGCGCCGAGGGGACCACTGCTCTTTACAGCATTAGCTGGAGGAAAAAAAGCAAATGGTTGTGAACTTCTCTGAAGTGTCAAGAACTAACATGTGGAGACTGTGGCTGCTTGAAAGAGTGCTCTGTTGCTCAATTTTGAACATAATTGTAGAGAGAATAGGATTTACTTAGCATCAAAAACAAGAGATGTGCTGTGACGTAACACTAAACTTGCACCGTAGTTGCTCAAAGAGTGCAGCGTTTGTGCTCAATTTTGAACATAATTGTAGAGATGAATATGGACTTTTACTTATGCAATCAATCAAACAAAGAGAATGTGCTTGTGAACTGTACACACTGACAAGCTTTAGTCTCAACTTTTAGTCAGCCGTCAAGCGCAATAAGCCATGGCATCTGCAAGCGTTACCATGCTAGCTAGTTAGCAAGCTTCCAGAATTCAATAGTCTCTAGCTTGCTAGTTACATGATAGAGCGGCGACGAGAGTGGGCGGACTGGAGCGTTTATTTAAACACAAAAACTACAGATTTCATTTCCAGCATTCAGCACACATACAAACTTAATTGAATGTACTGTTGGAGCTCCAGTCTGCCCACACTTGTTGCTGCTCAACTCGGTTAACCTGAAGTACATCGTGGAGTTGAGTTTTACTTGGACAGCTACATGGATAACTAGCTAGCTAGTTACCTAAATACTTACCTAACAAATACAAACTTCAAGAGGCCAATATCACGCATGAACTTGCAAGAGGTGTTGCCAACTGCCAGTTAGCTTTGCAAACAGTTAGCTTGTTGCACGACCTCTACTAGCCCAAAAAGTTGAAATATTTTAACGTACTTTACCGGTTGTCCATGCGGTTGTCCTGCTCATGCTTCAGGTGATAGAAATCTGAACACACTACCAGCGCTTTGAAAAGTTTGTTATTATACTTTACTGTGGATATATAGTCTCACATTCCTACCTCCAAAAGGACCAACCCCACGGTCAACCGGTAAAGTATGTTCAAATATTTCCAGGCCAAATTCTCATTACCGAAATGCGTCCGGATTAAATGTTGTGTCGTTTAATAAAAAATATAAAAGATCTTTAGAAAAACCTAACTTATTTGGATAAAACACAAAATATGTTGGTCTAGTTTGTCCATAAATCTGAAAAAATTGTATACTAGTTGAAGTTTACATTAAACTATAATATTTATTATGTACAAACAGTGTCTGAACATGTCATTAACGTAACACTTCTTCAAGTTCCTGTAAAAACTCCAATCAGTTTTTAAATAAAGTTTTATTCACCCCATGATGCATCATCTGGAGGAGTAATCCTTAGATGAGCACAAGTTAATTTATTCACTTATATTCCTTCAGAATGAAGTTCTTATTCTCAAAACACCCTCTTTACCCCACTTGGCCTTCGCCATTACCGAAAAGGCTAAAGAACTAAAATTGGGGGAAAAGTCTGATTTAATTTCATAATAATTGTATAATTTCATTTGAAATATTTTTATGTTCAGTGTTGTTTAACTCAGGCCTTTTCATTAGGGGAGCAATGTTAATTGTATTAAAAAAAAAAATGGGACTTCAAAAACTGTTACGTAATGTGCATTTTTGGAAAATGCATATCTGATAAAGAAACTACAATAATTATGAAATAGATCATTACAGATCCTAATCTCAGTGATTCAAGAGGAAATTTAATCAAAAATTACACTTGTTTTTTTGGACCGTTTCATGAGAATGACCCATTTAGATTAAGACACTGAGGAGACATGGCTCGGAAAATAAATATCAAGTTTGCTCTGAAAACTGTCCTTTTCCTCCTCATTCTAGGTAGCAGAAGCCACAGCAGCCATTTTGGAATGGAAGTGTCAGCCAATCAGCTCCTTTGTTGTTCAACGCGACTTGCATCCATAATGGCTGCTGTGGCTACTGCTAGCTAGCATGAGGACGAAAACTGCATTTTACTTAAACTAGCAGTTGTTTAATCTTCTCAGAGTAACAGTTGGGATAATGGGACAATTCAGAGTGCAACGCATTTCTCATCTCTGGATTGAGGTATGTTTTCTGAACCATATCTCGCTTAGGCTCCAGAGTAACTTAATCTACACAGAAATGCGGTCTGACCCTAGTGCAGTTGTAAACAAGCGGGTCAGATATGTTGGCTAGCCAAGGGCAGAAATCAAACCAGGCTAACTTTAGTTATCTAACTAATATCGCGAAAAACAATGACTTACCTTGACATTTAGCTAACTATTTCAAAACCTGTGCAATACCTACCCAAATTGGACAAATGAATAACATTTTGCAAGTTACATTTATAGTTACATTTACTAGCTGTCGTTAGCCTTGCTAGGGTTGCATGTTGCTCATTCAATGTGAGGGCGGCCTTCTCCTCCTGACTTTACCCTTCAGATTCACATTCAAGTCAGCCACACTTCGTGGCATTACTACTGCTATTTCAACTCAATCGTATGTATAAAAGGCTGGCATTGCATACCTGAAACGAAAACGACCCTAGACAGCATGGTTGAACGACAAAGTACCAAGTCCTTGGTTTACTGGGCACTGCTCTCTTCGTGCCCTTCTACTGCAAAGAGCCACAAGAATGGCGGAGGAATGGGAAAGCCTTGTCAAACGTCGCGAGATTCTATGCCTTCGTAAACGGGACTTGTATGTCCGGGTCATACAAATTCTCCAGTTATTCAATGTTTTATTCACTAGGTGGAAGACAAGTAACATAGATTTGACTTTTTGCTGCACGGGATATTAGTAAAGCTCCTAAATATAGTTGCTTTGAGAGACTACTAGACTAGTCAAGGATCATATCACCTCTACCTTACCTATCACCCTAGACCCACTTCAATTTCCTTACTGCCCCAATAGATCCACAGACGATGCAATCGCCATCACACTGCACATCTGGACAAGAGGAATACCTATGTAAGAATGCTGTTCATTGACTATAGCTCAGCATTCAACACCATAGTACCCTCCAAGCTCATCATTAAGCTCGAGGCCCTGGGTCTGAACCCCGCCCTGTGCAACTGGGTCCTGGACTTCCTGACCGGCCGCCCCCAGGTAGTGAAGGTAGGAAACAACATCTCCACTTCGCTGATCCTCAACACTGGGGCCCTACAAGGGTGCGTGCTCAGCCCCCTCCTGTACTCCCTGTTCACCCATGACTGTGTGGCCAAGCATGCCTCCAACTCAATCATCAAGTTTGCAGATGACACAACAGTATGACGAGACCGCCTACAGGGAGGAGGTGAGGGCTCTGGGAGTGTGGTGCCATGAAAATAACCTCTCACTCAACGTCACCAAAACAAAGGAGATGATCGTGGACTTCAGGAAACAGCAGAGGGTGCACCCCCCTATCCACATAGACGGGACCACAGTGGAGAAGGTGGAAAGCTTCAAGTTCCTTGGCGTATACATCACTGACAAACTGAAATGGTCCACCAACGCAGACAGTGTGGTGAAGAAGGCGCAACAGAGCCTCTTCAACCTCAGGAGGCTGAAGAAATTTGGCTTGGCACCTAAAACCCTCACAAACGTTTACAGATGCACAATTGAGAATATCCTGTCGGGCTGTATCACCGCCTGGTATGGCAACTGCACCACCCGCAACCGCAGGGCTCTCCAGAGGGTGGTGCGGTCTGCCGAATGCATTACCGGGGGCAAACTACCCACCCTCCAAGACACCTACAGCACCCGATGTCACAGGAAGGCCAAAAAGATAATCAAGGACATCAACCACCCAAGCCACTGCCTATTCACCCCGCTATCATCCAGAAGGCGAGGTCAGTACAGGTGTATCAAAGCTGGGACCGAGATAATTAAAAACAGCTTCTATCTCAAGGCCATCAGACTGTTAAATAGCCATCACTAGCACATTAGAGGCTGCTGCTGCCTATTGAAATCACTGACCACTTTAAGAAATGGAACACTAGTCACTTTAATAATGTTTACATATCTTGCACTACTCATCTCATATGTATATACTGTATTCTATTCTATAATATTCTACTGTATGTTAGTCCATGCCGCTCTGTCATTGCTTGTCCATATATGTATATATTCTTAAATTCCATTCCTTACTAGATTTGTGTATTGGGTATATGTTGTGAAATTGTTAGATATTACTTGTTAGATATTACTGCACTGTCGGAGCTAGAAGCACAAGCATTTCGCTACACCTGCAATAACATCTGCTAAACACGTGTATGTGACAAATAAAATGTGATTTGATTTGATGGAAAAGGTACCCAATTGTCATACTTTAGTAAAAGTAAAGATACCTTAATAGAAAATGAATCAAGTAAAAGTGAAAGTCACCCAGTAAAATACTACTTGAGTAAAAGTCTAAAAGTATTTGGTTTTAAATATACTTAAGTATCAAAAGTAAATGTAAATGCTAAAATGTACTTAAGTATCAAAAGTAAAAGTAAAAGTATAAATCATTTCAAATTCCTTATATTAAGCAAACCAGACGGAACCATTTTCTTGTTTTATTTATTTATGGATAGCCAAGGGCACACTCCAACACTCAGACATAATTTACAAACTAAGTATGTGTGTTTAGTGAGTAAGCCAGATCAGAGGCAGTAGGGATGACCAGGGTTGTTCTGTTGATAAGTGCTTGAATTGGACCATTCTCCTGTCCTGCTAAGCATTCAAAATGTAACGAGTACTTTTGGGTGTCAGGGAAAATGTATGGAGTAAAAAGTACATCATTTTCTATAGGAATGTAGTGAAGTAAAAGTTGTCAAAAATATAACTAGTAAAGTAAAGTATAGATACCCCAAAAAACTACTTAAGTGGTACTTTAAAGCAGGGGTGCAACTTTGGTTTTAGAAGTGGGGGGGGGGGGGCGTAATACCTATATACAGTGGGGAGAACAAGTATTTGATACACTGCCGACTTTGCAGGTTTTCCGACTTACAAAGCATGTAGAGGTCTGTAATTTTTATCATAGGTACACTTCAACTGTGAGAGATGGAATCTAAAACAAAAATCCAGAAAATCACATTGTATGATTTTTAAGTAATTAATTTGCATTTTATTGCATGACATAAGTATTTGATACGTCAGAAAAGCAGAACTTAATATTTGGTACAGAAACCTTTGTTTGCAATTACAGAGATCATACGTTTCCTGTAGGTCTTGACCAGGTTTGCACACACTGCAGCAGGGATTTTGGCCCACTCCTCCATACAGACCTTCTCCAGATCCTTCAGGTTTCGGGGCTGTCGCTGGGCAATACGGACTTTCAGCTCCCTCCAAAGATGTTCTATTGGGTTCAGGTCTGGAGACTGGCTAGGCCACTCCAGGATCTTGAGATACTTCTTACAGAGCCACTCCTTAGTTGCCCTGGCTGTGTGTTTCAGGTCGTTGTCATGCTGGAAGACCCAGCCACGACCCATCTTCAATGCTTTTACTAAGAGAAGGAGGTTGTCGGCCAAGATCTCGCGATACATGGCCCCATCCATCCTCCCCTCAATACGGTGCAGTCGTCCTGTCCCCTTTGCAGAAAAGCATCCCCAAAGAATGATGTTTCCACCTCCGTGCTTCATGGTTGGGATGGTGTTCTTGGGGTTGTACTCATCCTTCTTCTTCCTCCAAACACGGCGAGTGGAGTTTAGACCAAAAAGCTCTATTTTTGTCTCATCAGACCACATGACCTTCTCCCATTCCTCCTCTGGATCATCCAGATGGTCATTGGCAAACTTCAGACGGGCCTGGACATGCGCTGGCTTAAGCAGGGGGACCTTGCGTGCGCTGCAGGATTTTAATCCATGACGGCGTAGTGTGTTACTAATGGTTTTCTTTGAGACTGTGGTCCCAGCTCTCTTCAGATCATTGACCAGGTCCTGCCGTGTAGTTCTGGGCTGATCCCTTACCTTCCTCATGATCATTGATGCCCCACGAGGTGAGATCTTGCATGGAGCCCCAGACCGAGGGTGATTGACCGTCATCTTGAACTTCTTCCATTTTCTAATAATTGCGCCAACAGTTGTTGCCTTCTCACCAAGCTGCTTGCCTATTGTCCTGTTGCCCATCCCAGCCTTGTGCAGGTCTACAATTTTATCCCTGATGTCCTTACACAGCTCTCTGGTCTTGGCCATTGTGGAGAGGGTGGAGTCTGTTTGATTGAGTGTGTGGACAGGTATCTTTTATACAGGTATCGAGTTCAAACAGGTGCAGTTAATACAGGTAATGAGTGGAGAACAGGAGGGCTGCTTAAAGAAAAACGAACAGGTCTGTGAGAGCCGGAATTCTTACTGGTTGGTAGGTGATCAAACACTTATGTCATGCAATAAAATGCAAATTATTACTTAAAAATCATACAATGTGATTTTCTGGATTTTTGTTTTAGATTCCGTCTCTCACAGTTGAAGTGTACCTATGATAAAAATACAGACCTCTACATGCTTTGTAAGTAGGAAAACCTGCAAAATCGGCAGTGTATCAAATACATTATTCTCCCCACTGTACATATATTTTTGGATTGGATAAACACTCCAAACAGCCTACCCGACTGCACGGAGGCGTCCGCATGGTCCTAAAGCACACCTTTGCCTCGTTTTGTATCACATTCCAATGATAAAACTGGGGGGGGGGGGGGGGGGGGGGGGGGCAAAAACATGCAATTTCAGAATGTGGGGGGGACATGTCCCCCTCGTCGCCAGTGAAAGTTGCGCCCCTGCTTTAAAGTATTTTTACTTAAGTACTTTACTCCACTGGTTGCAGTTTACTTTCTTGAGCTTGGTGAATAGGGCACAGTTTGAAAGCAATTTTTGTGTAATAACTCAAGTCCAGAGGCAATCAACCCCATTTTATTTTCACACAAACACACACACACACACACACACACACACACACACACACACACACACACACGTTAACAGTAAGAGACTGATGGGAGGTTTACAATATATGCATTCTTTCCATCAGTTACATATGAGACCAACTACATAGCACTGTAAACAGCTGACCAGTCTCGCTGAGTCTGTAATCATTGGGTCGACTTGGCCTTGCAGGCTGAGTCTGTGATCATTGGATCCCAGCAGTGTGTGGAATCAGCTCTAGTACAGCTGGTTGGTGAGATAGAGGAACACATAAGACTGGTGTGGTTCCCCATCCCCTCCACTTCCTGAAAAAAACATGCAAGACAGCAAGACAGAAAGAGCGACCTGAGAAAGACAGAGAAGTTACCAGAGAAGCTAGCTACTGGGAGGACACAGTTTAGAAGAGTGTCACGGTCGTTGTAAGAGGCAGACCAAGGCGCAGCGTGATAGGCGTACATCTTTCAATGAGTACTATACACCAACAACAAAACGATACGTGAAGTCTAACGGTTCACCAACACAAACCTATACAGAACAAGATCCCACAATACAAAAGTGCCAAAAAGGCTGCCTAAGTATGGTCCCCAATCAGAGACAACGAGCCACAGCTGTCTCTGATTGGGAACCACCCTGGCCAACATAGATATACACAATCTAGAACACCCATAGACACCTAAACATAACAAGTCCACACCCTGGCTCAACATTTAAGAGTCCCCAGAGCCAGGGCGTGACAAAGAGGGAGAAAGACTGTAGGCATATGAGGCTGTTTTTTAACACACACCGGC